CTCTGCTGCCCAGCAAAATCTTGCATTAAAAATGAAAATTCCAAGAGGTGACATTTCTTTTTATCTTGTCACTAATCCAGGAGTCAAAAATTGGTTCTCAAAAGACCAAAAGCCATTCACAAGGTAGATATTTATTCTGTGAGGATTACCCACATTGAGGTTTTTTGGAAGCAATACGTGAAATCCTTAGACTCCAAAACATGGTACATAATTACCTTCAGTGACCATTGTCTGCTATTGTAAAGAAGGAAGATATGCTTGTTTAAAAGACATTTTAAAATAAAGACAAGTGGCATTTCAAGCAAGGGTCTATTACTAGGTCACAGGAAAGCAGAAACAAGCTAATCACTCCGTGTATCCAAGAGGAGAGGACACAAAGACAGAACGAAGACAAGCTGATTTCCAGAGCCTGCCCCTGAGGTTGCCAGTCGTAAGTAAGTAGGGACCAGCATCAGTCTAGGGACCTTTATCCTCCGCAAAAGGCAGGGCTCACCAAGAAGCTGGGCAACTCTTCCACTACGTCGGGGCCTGCGGAGCAGAGAAAATCAAGTGAGGAAGGCAAGACGAACAGTATCTGATGGCTTTCTCCATCCTGGCTCCTCCACAAGGCACGGTGAGATTCCAAGTACTGGTAGAAGTGAAATGAGGCTACTAACTGCTGCTGCCCCTTTTCTGCTAACAAGCAAGTGACAGGAGCCATTCGCTCTTTCTCGAACTGGTCCTGTACACAGACTTGGGGGGTTAGACTCAGCTCCTTGGTTGCATTTATGAAGATAACTCTGTAAGAAAATGTTAACTCCTTAAGCAATTTCTTCCCACGTTCCAGTTTAATATCATGTGTGGTGCAAGTTATCTAGATATTTTATCTCACCTAGGTGGAATCTTGTAATAAGCCATTGCCTCATTACCTCACCCCTAACTAAAGCAACAAAAAGGTTCAATTAAAATAAGATCTATGCAATACAGCACAAACGGTAAAGGCTATGACTGGTGGCAGCTCACTGCTTCAGACAGTGTCTTTTTTTTTTTTTTTTTAAAACGTGCTCCTTGACAGAGAGACCTGGGTGGAATGTGTTTTGCTTTGGTAAGCCAAATACATCAAATCTTGAAAATCTGTGTGAAAAAAGGTGCCACAAAACAAAGTAGTTTAAAAAGATACTTTTTAGTGTCTTAGTTTCCACAAAATCCGAGCGGGTGGGGTGACAATGGCAACACATTTAAAATGTTGCACTGTGCAGCATCCAAAGTGCTTCAGCCCTTCCCTAACAGGTATTTGCTGCTCAAGCCGGCTTACACTCTGCTGTGAAAATTTACACATGCATTAATGCTGGACCCATTCATACACCTTGTTGTCACTGAAAGCAGACGTCATGAACCCAGACGCACTCTCCCTTTCCTTGTACTGGCTCTGTTGCTGACTTGAGCGTAATCCATCCACTGAGATTTCATAAAACTAACCTGAGCAGAGAAAACCCCACAATCCAAAACAGATTTCTGTAAGCTGAACTGGCTTGAAGTGCAATCAGCCAAGGTCTAGACACACGAACAGTGAATGGATGGGACAACTGAGCTGAGCAGAAGAATTTGAGGGCAAGACCTGCCTTTTAGGCTGCATCTATCCACTGCATCACTGCACACGTAACATCTAACCTTAGCTGCAGCCTACGTAAAAGCTGCAATACCTTATCTTCCCAACACTGGGAAACCCGATGCAGGCATTCAAGTTTCTTTACACAGAAGATACAGTCCTTGCCCAGAGCATCTCAACTCCTACCTTTCCTAGAGCTTAGGCTACAAAACGGCCCAGCAGTGACGGCACTTACTGCAAACACAAAGGACTCAAGCCCAGCACCACTGAGAAGGTTCAAACCCACACCCTTCCAGTCCCTGGAGAAGAGCTCTTATCACTTGGCTTCGCACTGAAGGAGAAGGTTCACTCTTCCTCTTGAAGTTAGGCAGGAGAAGCAAAAGAAATTAAGACTCACAGGGGACAGGGAAAACACAAAACTCGGAAGGCTGTGCAATTTGGCTGCCACCCCATCGAGTGCAGCATTAGCTTCTAGCCCTACCAGTCAGGATCATTCATGCGTTTTTTTCATAGACCTGATATGGGATTAAAGAAATTGAAAGAACGGGTTGGAGAAGAAGTCAAAACCTAGAACTTCCTCCTCCCAACTCCAACAGCTAGGCTGCTGCCGTACTCCCCTCCGGGAGCCTGCCACCCTTTACTTGGCTCCCAAACTTGCCAGCAGCCAGGTCCCGTGGTCCTAAACCCCTCAGCCCGAACCCAGCTGTCCGTTTTCTGAATTAACACTCTAATCAGTAGGCTGAGTCACTTAAGAGTCTGCTGCACGTTACGAGCACGCACAGATCTCGGTACACATGAGGTGAGCTCCGAGCTGGCCTTCTCAGTGAACCTCTGCCAACCGCTGGACCGCGTCCAAGCTCTGTGACGAACCGGAGGCTGAAATGCGTAAGCTGCAGGTTCACCGACTGGCGTTTCACAACCGGTTCGTGCTGCCCTTTGCCGGTGCAGCTCCCCATTGGTCCCACCAACTTCTCCACCTCCCATCTCCCCTTCCCTCTCCCACCTGTGTGTGCCAAGGGCGTGCAGTCCCTTCGAACAGGCAGTCAATAATGCTGGAAAACTAACACTACAACAGCCACCAATCCAGAAAAGTAAATACATATATACATATACACATACTTTTCTGCCAGTTTAGTGAGCTAAACTAACTCACTGAGGGATGAAGTGATCACCGCAGCCAGTACAAGGGAAGAGGCAGAAGGTGGCAGCCAGAGAGGGTGACAAGATGTCTTTTTTTGCTACGGCAAACTGCTCATCAGCCCAGCCGTCCTGCGCACTGCACCCTCGGATTGCCTTGATTTCTCGAGAGACCATAACAGAACCGGTAGCAAACGCTGCTTCCCAATTTACCTTCTCTCCCGACTGCTCGCTCCCGCCTCTTGCCCCAGCCTGTTAGTGGCCACAAGGCGAGTCGGACCAGAGAGTCACGTGAGGGCTGGCGAAGAGATCCATGTCTCCATATTTTTTTCCTACATGGATCAGTTTCCTGAGGGAATTCACCGTACCTAGCGTGCAGGCAGCTCTGCTGGAGCGATGCAAGGTGCAGAAACAAACAGCCTTGACACCTAAACAGGCAAAATGGCCAAAATACAACGGCGGAACTGCAAGTTTAGGCTAGCGCAGCATTAGGCTCATCCTGAAGAAAAACAGCACAGCCTTAGAGAACTTTTAACTTCCTCAGCTTTCAATACTGTAAAGAGTTGCCTAAAGAGTTCAGGAGCCTCCAGAATCAGGCAGCAGTTACAGTTTTTAGTTACAGCTTTGGGTTTAAATAAGCTTCTTTTGCTCATGCATTTTATGTAGGACTAATTCCTGGCTCTCACCTGGCCTTATACTGTGGTGTATCAGACAGCTTTATAAAATAAAACAAAAAAAACCCAGGAAAAGTCATTATTATCATCTGTGTTTCATCCCTGCAGCAACCAGAGCACCACACTGCAGGCCTGAATCAGAGCTGAGAATAAAACGTATGTCTTTTGTGGCCTGAAGAGAGGATCTGCAAGGCAGGCGTCTTGCCTCCCGGTGGGATCCTCTGAACGGCTGGACTGCGTGTTTCCTAGGCAAAGAAACAGTACTGCAAGTTTCACTGCTAAAAATAAATGGACCTTAAAAGTTTTATCACCCTCCCCAAAGTACTAAATTTTGACATGCCGAACTCTATGTGGGAAGTTGGAAGTGCTCAGTATCTTCCACCGCCAGAGCTTCAGCAGAAGCTACGAGGTGAGAATCAGAATGGATGAGGGGAGAGAAATGCCCTTTCTGTGTTTCCATTTCAGTTACACACACAACATAGTGAAATAAGGATTAACTCTGCTCATCAATTTGAGGTATCCACTAGACAGATTAAAAAAAAAGGGGGGCCAATGTTAAAGCTGGTCAGCCCCCAACTTTGCAAACAGCAGGGAAAGAATCAAAGTGAGCCAAAGTCCAAAACAAGGCAAGTCAGAAGTTTAATATTTAGTTTTAAGCAAATATTTCACCACTTGTTCAAAGCCAAGCAGAACGGCGGGGGGGGGGGGGGGGGACCCCCCCGAAAAA